GTTAAAGTTTCGTTGGAACGAAGTTACGGAAAAATCAATTAACAAACGGAGACGTAACAATACTGTGACTTTACTCTCGTTTAGAAGTCACGCTTTCAGTTTGTTTTTGTGTGCATTTTTTATAATTTAAATGATAAATGAAAACAAAATATAACTTACTGTATAGTTATCAATAAATTTCGGGATTTTTTAAAGGGTAAGACAAGTTTTTAATCAGGTGTTGTAGGTTCGTTAAGTAACTGTTATTGTTCATATTGAAGATTATTTCAACTCTACTAAAAAAGTGGATTGCAATAATATTTGAGCAAGTAGTAGAACAAATAATAACCAAAATAATTTTGTAAGTTTCTAATGTTAGAGTATAAATGAAATTCTTTAATTAAGTCATGCTATTTTCTCTCTGTAGGCTATCACATATATATTTACTGACATGCAAACGCAAGAAAGACACGAGCACGCTATGGCTTGCTATTACGCTACCTACCGCCGAGCAGCAGCACTCTGTCAATGGTTTGATCAAGTGAGTTTTTTATAAAGGGGGTCGTTTTATAAATCAGATTTTCTCATTTAATTAACAGTCTGTAAGTTCGATAACTATCAAATTTTCAAAAATAATGGCAAATCAAATAGTAAATATTTATCGCAGAAAATTTTGAAAATACCTCTGAAATTGAAATTTATCATAATAAATAAATAAATATGTTGTAATTTAAACCAGTATAAACTTAACAATTAGAAGGATGTGTAATGAATTAGCTTTGAAGTTTTTTCTTTTTTATCTTTTCAACTGTTTTAACATAATATTTGTCATACATAAAATACTAATGAATAGACTCAGCAACTTAATTACTGAATTTATCCACCACATGCAATTTTCGATATTTGATGCGAATTGAATTGTCTTATATTTTACTTAGAATTGAACGTAAATAATGAGATTCACTGGTAAATCATCGTTTTATGCGTTTAACCGGTAGGTACTGAACAAAACGATTTCGCGGGACTTGTCTCAGCTAACGGACTTGTGTAACACGAAAGAAGCTTTGCTTCGTCGAGAGAGAATTAGACTTATTAGAATTAAAGTAAGAGAAATTACAGGAAAAGACGTCGAATACAACATAGGTAAGCCCAACTCACATTGTTATCGTTTTATTCAAAAGTATTTTTAGAATAATGTACTTTCAACATGAGTGTTTTTCGTTAACATGGTAATTTTCTGCGCCACCATTCAGAAGTCATGTAACATTTTTTTTAAAGGCAAAGTAATATTTACAGTAGGATTAAAGAAGTAATCAAATTTATAATACTTCTCATTCTAAACTGCACCAAAGTGGATTTCCCCTAAAGAGTATGTATGGTACTCCTTAAGGATTTAGTAGTTAACAAAACCTACCTCTTAATTACCAAACAGCCTAGTACTGCTTTCTTAAGGTCTCTAACACAATGTTCAAGTTATTTATCACCTCGAGAAAATTCTACATTTGAACTCGGAACTGAAAAAAAAAGAAAAAAAAATCCTTAAGCCATTCTTAGCACAGAGTTGTTGCAAGATCGCGAGTACCCGTAGCAACTCAAACTCTCAGGAATCGATGCAAAATAAGTCCCAAGCCAGTAAGGCTGCATTGCATTATTTAAAACAAACATCAAGAACTCGTAGCGCTTATCCTATTAGAAACGATCGTTGAATGGTACATAGACCTATTTCAAATCAGGAATGTTGCTTAGTGATTAACACTAAACGGAAATATGTTGATTACAATAGTAATATCGACATATAATAAGTCTAAGTCTGCGGGCCGCGGGTTCGAATCCCCGTCCCACCAAACATGCTCGCCCTTTCAGCCGTGGGGGCGTTATAATGTGACGGTCAATCCCACCATTCGTTGGTAAAAGAGTAGCCCAAGAGTTGGCGATGGGTGGTGATGACTAGTTGCCTTCCCGCTAGTCTTACACTGCTAAATTAGGGACGGCTAGCGCAGAAAGCCCTCATGTAGCTTGCGCGAAAATCAAAAAACAAACAAACAAACCTTTCTAAGTAATAGCTTATCTAATCTTATCTAATATGTATACAGAACCACAGGTTTAAGTTACATATAAGTCTAGCCTGAGAGTGCCTGTTTACGCTTTTTGAAAATATATTTACATATAGATGAATAACCGCTTTTCAATAAAAAACATCGATATTATACTTTCTCTTCTCCAACACAACAACGTTCTTTATTTTTTCTGTAAAATATCGACGACAGTATATAGATGTTGCTAACTCCTAATATCACTCAATCTACCTGAATTTCAGTCAACATGCTACAATGCACAGGGTTTATAAAAGCATTCTAACTACGCTGTGTTTGTTATTCGCTGAAAGATTTTTCACTTAGTAGTACCACAGGTCCACAGCACGAGTGACCAACAACGTAAAATTTTTGTTGTTGTTGTTGTTGTACATTAAAAAAATATAATATATTTGTGAAAAAAATCACAACCCGAAATATAAAAGTTGATTTGCTTTACTCCACGCCCCCCAGTGGCATGTCTAGGGACTTACACCGCTAGAAGCCTGGTTTCGATACCCGTGGTGGGCAGTGCACAGATAGCCCATTGTGTAGCTTTGTGCTTAACTACAAACAAACAAAACAAATTTACTTCACATAAGTTTGATTCAATATCGAAGTTCGTATGGTTTCTTGAGAAGCAAACAACACTTAAAATGTCACGGATTTCTCAGTAGCAACAGTCTCAATATATATATATATATATATGTGTGTGATATATATTACCAGTAACAGTATAAACATGTTAATGAACTTATTTAACATATTGATACTTAAAAGTTAGTGGTCGGCGATAAAACTGGTTCTGTTATCGATGTGATTTCCCCGAAAGGGGACCAAAGGCCGTCTGAAGGGGCCACCTGTTTTAACCACTCGCACCACAATACAGTAGTATGTTGTCTGTCAATCAGTCAGTAGACACTCAAAATGACGAAACATAAGGGATGCTTAAAGTTGCAATTTGTACTGTATCATGATATAAAATGCTGTTTAGTTTAGATATTATTGATGAATTTGTTTTTGTGAATGAATATTTTATTATTCTTTATTTTTTGTTATAATAAGTTAAAGCATGTGATTGTAGGAAGTTGTGTTTATAAATCATTGACGTTGAAACTATCGAATGTCGCGTGCAATACATTGACGTCGAGAATATAAAAGGCGGGCAGACGAATTAGGTTAGACATATAAATAGTGTGAGACGACCAAAAACAGCAGACAGACAATAGCAGAAGAGAGTAAAGTTACGGGCAAGGGAAAGTTCGTCTGCTCTTAACTCTTATTATGACAAAAACCAAACAATAATAAAATATTCACCCACCAAAGTATATTAATCGATAATATCTAAACCTAACAGTCTTTTATATCATAACAGACTGTCGTGACGTCAGTAAAACGTGCGCATACCATGAATCACGAGAAGAATTATGCAATTTGTAGGCTAGAAAACAGCATGACATATGAACTTCAACAGCAAGAAATTAAGATATGTTTTCCTTAGTTTTGGTTTTATTTACTCTTGAAACAGAACACTTCGGGGACCCTGTAGAAGTATATCTAGCAGTGTACGGTATACGGGATCACGGAGTGTTGATACTTTTTTAAAGTTCAAATACTCATGTAGTTATTTTAGATTATTATAATTCAAAATGGTAACTACAAAACAAATAACTATAATGTAACTGCACTTCTTTTTTAAATAATAATCTTTTATTTCTTAATGATAATATCCCACTCACACTTACGAAAACAGTTCCCAAGACATCTTAGCCTTCCCATAGTAATCCTTGCTCTCACTTATCTCACCCCTAACTTCCCCGTCCATAACCCCACTTTCCAATTTTCTCTGAAAAGTATCTGTAGTGGATTTTTTCCAGAGGGAATAATACACGATTTTTTAAAAGTACACTAGAAATTATTTCAAAATAAACTTAATAACCTTCTACCTATAGTATACGATCTTCCGTGTTCTCATCTCATGACGTAGATAACCACTTCACAAATATATCATATGGAACATCTAAAACTATAGAAATAATTAGACTCATCATAAACGTCTGGAAATTAACCTCGATAGAGACGTCAGTTTATAAATATTCATGACCCCACAATTAAAACGCTAAAGTGGTGGGCAAAACACGGTTAACCCATTGTGTAGCTTTGTGCTTAGAAAAAAACAAACATAGAAATCAATAAGAGTACTAAAAAATAAAATCCAGAATCTCACTAAAGAACAGTTTTTTTGTTGTTTTTTTAATTTCGCGCAAAGCTACACGAGGGTTATCTGCGCTAGTCGTCCCTAATTTAGTAGTGAAAGACTAGAGGGAAGGAAGCTAGTCATCACCACCCGCCGCCAACTCTTTGGCTACTCTTTTGCCAACGAATAGGTGGATTGACCGTCACATTATAACGCCCCACGTCTGAAAGGGCGAACACGTTTAGTGGGACGATGATTCGAACCCGCGACCCTCACATTGCTACTCGAGCGCCCCCTAACCATCTGGCCATGCCGGTCCCACTAGTCAGTAGTCATACATAATTTCTGTCAACTTACTCGTCTCTTAATAGAGCAAGACCTAATTCTGGTGTAAGCCCCCCAGTGGCACAGCGATATGTCTGCGAACTTACAACGCTGGAAACTGGGTTTCGATATCCGTGGTGGACAGATCACAGATAGCCCATTGTGTAGTTTTGTGCTTAACTTCAAACACACACACACACACACATTCTGGTGTACATTTAAATTTATCTGTTGATGTATTAAGGAAAATGGCAACACCTCATAAAAGCTCTATTGCTGTTACCGATAGCGAATAAACTCATATTTTTGATGAATACTTTAAAGGCACCTTCACTGCTCCTCAGCTAAACACATTTGACAGTAGTAATTATAACTAACATAGTCATATAACCCCAATTGCTCAATCTACAATCCAAAATTTTACACAACGATCTGGAACCAAATCTATACTTTCCTCCACAATAAAATAAAAAGACCCATCACCATCTTAAAAACTACAATTAATATTAAACGTTCAAAAACTCAGCCCCTGGCAATCAGCAATCCTTTGTGGTACAGGAAGGAAACATGTGTTTTCTACTTCCTTGGTTAATATGTAATTTTTTTGAAATTTCTATTTTTTATTCAGTTCGGTTTGGACACAGAAAATCCCTAAAATAAACACATTTTTTTGTGATTTGAAGTAGATATTACACTTAATAATCAGTTCAACTGGAATTCACATTTCAGCAAAATTATTCAAAAATGCGCTCAGCAATAAACTAAATCCGAAAAAATGCGCTCAGGAATAAACTACTTCCGACATATGGGAAATTAATTGCTGTATAACTTTCACTCTATTACCTACGAAGATTTCATTATACCACTAATGTAATACGGTTGTATGATGACTTGTAACATGTCTGTTAATACCTTTCATAACTAACGAACACTTCAAAACCGAGCATGACGTATAGCACTTAACTCTCTATACTTATACTCTCACGTGCCACGTAGATAAAGGTCCGATGATCTCGATGATCTCAACGGTTAAAAATAGATTTATCAAATTAGTTTCCACATTTTACAAAACAGAAATCCTCTTTCATTTCAATTATTTAACACAGCAGCAACCTGACCTCATGATGACAAAATATACCTCTTCATTCAGCTTAGTCCTCAACACATAATGTTAAATCCACCTGGTCTGTTAAAAGTACTAGGTTAGCCTTATTATTTTCCATGGTCAGAGCTTAAGTATTTTCGTGACTTTCGAACAACTTGTTTTTCTTTTAGAGTTTAATTTTAGGTTCTAGCTTGGCCATTTGTTGAGTAGATTCTTCAGCGCCGGAGTAAAAGTAGGTGTTTCTTGGGGCACTCCCGTTTTCCCCCTACCTCAAATTATTTGGCATTGGATCTATTGATCTTCACTGCCTATAGTCGGACAACACCCACCATTATCCACCGACATCACACTCTTCTACAGTCAGACAACACCCACCATTATCCACCGACATCAATCTCTCCTACAGTAGGGCAACACCCACCATTATCCACCGACATCACACTCTTCTACAGTCAGACAACACCCACCATTATCCACCGACATCACTGTCTCCTACAGCCGGACAACACCCACCATTATCCACCAACATCACTGTCTCCTACAGTAGGGCAACACCCACCATTATCCACCGACATCACACTCTTCTACAGTCAGACAACACCCACCATTATCCACCAACGTCACTCTCTCCTACAGCCAGACAACACCCACCATTATCCACCGACATCACTGTCTCCTACAGTCAGACTACACCCACCATTATCCATCGACATCACTCTCTCCTACAGCCAGACAACACCCACCATTATCCACCGACATCACTGTCTCCTACAGCCGGACAACCTCATATGAAGGTTACATCCACTGGTAACTACAGTTTTAAAAAGAAATATTGTATGAATGGTACACCATTGGTAACTATAGTTTCATATAAAAAAATCTTGTATGGTCATGTCAATTAAGTTGAAGGGCATCATACAGATCCCAGGCCATGAAATATGATACCACGCATACACACCCAGCTGCTAGGCTGGGCCCCACTGACAATTTGAAGACAACAACACATGTTATTTCATTCCAGTCCCAGGAGGGACTGGCGAACCAAACTGGTAGAGTGTAACTCCCTTTCGTTGGCCAAGCGACCATAATACGAAAAAAATGGGAAAAGAAAGGAAGATATGGATGAAAGAGCAAAGTCTTCAAAGGAAGTGAAGATAAAGGATTGAAGCATAGTGACATGAACTGGTAGCGTAAGTGATCGAGAGAAATGGAGGCTGGCACAGTGTAGGCTAAATCAGGGAACGAAGTATGTTCAGGAAACAAGCAGTGGAGTCCGTGAGCATTAGGTCTCGGGATAAATGAAAGGGGAAAGAGGGAACATTGGTACTGCAACATGCTCGGGGTCATCAGGCAAAAGTCACATAACATAGAGTTTCAGAATATGATCAGACAGTGTTAAAAGAACTCTTGTGCTATGGACGGTGGTGGCCAGAATGTCGGAGAAACAATTTAAAGAAAAGTAGACTGTTATATAATGTATTGTTTTGATAATTAAGAAATTGGTGTTTTTAAACTCAGACACCAATAACATGTACACAGATCTGTCAGTTGCATAAATACTTGATCTCCTTGATATCTTGAATATTAATTGAGATTAATATTTCTATCTTTGTTAATTTTTACTGAAATTGTTTTGGCAAATATAATGTTTATGCAATGAAAAGTCACAAACGGTCGTAAAATAAGAACATTTTGTGCTGCCATCTAGCGACCAAATATTAAACGTATTTATGAAACATGAGAATAATCTATGCTTATAAAGTGAACTCAATGATGGATAGTAGTTTTTCCTTTTTTATTATTTCGCAACAAAAATGTGTTTGATAGAAGAACAGAATAACAATACTGTTATACCAGCTGTGAAACACTCGATAATGACAGTTAGATGCTCAAATAAGGCTATAACTCAACTTTAGCACTTATTTGTAATAGATTGAATGTGGGGGCCATTTTTTCTCAGCTCATCCCTACATACTAAGCACTACCATGCTTAATGATTAAGCTTATAAATAGTTGTTTGTCAACTTACTATCATATTCGCATAGTGTGCTTCCATGCATAAGTGCTGTATAATATTATTACTAGCTTAATTCAGTAGTTATAATTATGAATACAATGCCATTTGATTTATAAACAGATTCATTTAAATTTGCTTTTATGATAATATTTTCTTTTTGTTTCTATTAAAGTGAGGTTGTGTGTTTGTGATCGTCTTCTACCACTAACGATTGCTCTATAAATCGGTTATAAATGTCAGCATTATTCAGTCACATCCAAGTACACTTGCTTTAATAAAGCTGCAATTGTTTGCTTGTATAAGTAACTCGACCTTCAGATTATTTGTTTACTTATGTATAAAAAGATTGTTTATCTCATTTTTTTGGTTGCTAAGCAAAGAATTGGTTATTTATTTCAGACGCAGAAAGTGAAATAGACGACACGCCTATGAATGAAGACAGAGTCCAGCTGTTTCAGGCCGCAAAAGTGTCTGGCAAAGTAAATAATTTTCTTGATTGAACTTAGAAGAAATCCTTCTTAGCAATTCTGTTATTTATATGTATACCTGTTTCGTTCTTGAATGAAATTTCAGTAATTGTGGCAAGATTTCAAAACAGTGAGGGATATTGCTAAAAAAATGCCAGTGTGTACAGTTCTCAATCATTATTTAATCTCGAAGTATATATACACTCTATAGTTTCATTCCCCGATATTAACCTTTGCCATCTTCTTTCTAGTTCACAGGGCTCAAAATAATCTAATAACTCTTCTTTGTTTCTCATTCAATTTTTCGAGTATAATTTTTGTTGAAATCAAGTGACATGTAATGTATTTATTTTCAATTATATTTCAGTATATTTAAACTATTCTATACAAAAATATTGATTATTCAAATCACGTGGGCAGATTGCTTATTGTTGTTGGGTAACGTGTCTATTTCTAAAATGTTATTTTATATATTAGTTTTAAGTCACATTTATGTAAATGGCCATTTTGTATTCATTATCATTCTTACTTGTAGAATGTTGTTTTGTTAAATAATAGTTTCCAAAATCATATAACCAGAATAGTAAATACATATTGATTATTATTTCCTTACTTGCATAATTTTACTTTGTTCAACACTAGATTCCAAAAGCGTATGATTAGTATACTTCTTACTATTACTTTTGCTTTCCTGTTGGTTTTTTCAGGCTTCTTCTGGATCATTAGACATCTAAAGACATATACATACCGATATACTTACATCTTTTGTTTTTTATTTTCTTACTATTTAAAATTAATTTCCTTAGAATATTGGTTTACTAAAATAACATTCATATAATACTAACACTGAGCAACAACAAACATTTCTCTGCTACTGGAAAAAATGCAACTGTTTCTGAGTAATTTGACGATAGTGATTCTAAAACTCATTTTGAAAATTACTGATCACCTCTAGTTTTCGAGTTGTGATAGGTTTATTCAAAATATTCTTAGATATCATGAAAATAATTTTTAATAACTATATATTTATTGAAAATTGCATTTAAGAATGTATAACCTGCATGCTTTGATAAGTTTCTATCGTGTTCACAGCATGAGCAACAGTAATCGATGGCTTGGTGTTCCCATTGTGCAAAAGTACAGTTTTAAGACTAACTTTAGATGAGTAGATAAAAAGTCTCCATTCTTGAGGATGATTTGTAGAACCAAATTCTTCCAGTATAGCATCAACATTTGTACAGAAACACAAATTATCTTGCATGCTGTAGTGAGAAGCGAGACTTCAATAAATTGGAACTCTTGTTCCTGGAGCTAATAAATTCCATTGCTGTAAACGAGAGCCAAGAAGTTCCAAATATTGCTTTAATAGAGACAAGTCACGAATCAGATCATTTAGTTCTTTTTGTGTGATCAGATGATACCGTTTATTTTGAGGTGCTACCGGAATAGAATTACTACATGAAAAAGATGAAGCTGATTCATTGTCTTTTTCGCAGAATAACTCTTCTATTTCCCAATTCGCTGATGGATATGGCACTGGAAGACCATCCCCATTAAGTACTGGTTTTATTTCAGTTTCAATATCTGGATAGTTAATGTATTATTTAGTTTTGCATGAATATCCAGAAACATTAGTCATGCAAAAATAACAGTCAGTTAGATGATCTTTGGGTTCACACCATATCATGGGGACTGCCAATGGTATACTTGCTCTCTTCGTATTCAACAACTGTGTCAAGTAAGATATGCTAACTGTACAACACGCATGTGGAGCCCAGTATTTTTCTTGGTCACCAATTTTACATAGTGGTAGCAAGCTATCTTTACCTTGTAGGTGATGTTTTTTCCTTCGTGAAACTGTAATATATTATCCACAAATGTAGCAAAAAATGTTTAGGTGATTTTTACACATTCGGACTTTACTTGAACTGGAGGCAGCCAGCATTTTAAATGATTTTCTAAAAAGTGTAAACGAATTTATGTTTACAGAACTAAAGTTTAAAAGATTTAATAAACAAAGTTTTGCAGAATTCGATTATATCGTGGCTATGATGCGAGGAATAAGATCGGAGAGTTTGCTTTGACTGTGTGTGGAACGAGGCGAAGTGACCAACTGAGTGATTGAGAGACAACTAAAAGAGAGGTTTCTGACTCTGCCCCTTTTATGCTCGGTCGAGAGAGTTCTCAAATGTTCTTGCAAACTGAGTATGTGAGGGTTTCGTGATTCCCGGGCGGAGCAGGTGAGCGTGTGAATGAAGCAAAAGTGGTGCAATTCGCTACAATTATATCGAAAACAAATAGCACATACGAACAATATATTTGGAATTTTATACCAATACAATACTCTCAATGTCTGAAGTTATGAAAATGTTTGCCTTTTATCCATTAAACTGTCCAAATGTACTAAGTTGATTGCATGGTATTTTACATAGTGCTGATAAAATATGGAGATATTAAAATAACTCAAAATGTAGAGGGATGGACAAATTCTGAATACATTTTTGAAATCAGCACCATCAAATTACCCAGAATCACTTGAGTTTTCTTCAGTAGTAATTTTTGTTATTGTTGTTGTCCTGTAATCCAAGTTACATCAAATGACGTTCACCAATATGTAATCGTTCTTGTATGTGTTTTTCATGTAATGGTTTTTTAAGTTTGTTTGTTTGTTTGAAGTTATGCACGAAGCTACACTATGGGCTATCTGTGCTCTGCACTATCGAAACCCGGTTTCTAGCGTTGTAAGCCCGCAGACATACCGCTGTGCCACTGGGGGCCTTGTTTAAGTTACATCAAATGATGTTCACCAATATGTAATCGTTCTTGTCTGTATTTTTCATGTAATGGTTAAGTTACATCAAGTTTGTAGTGTTCAGTAATAAAGCGAATTTCTGATGAAAGTCCAATGCAGTGTACAGAGAAGGTTTTATTAAATTATCAACAACTATTTTTGTCTGACCATTGAACAGAAACCACCAGATGACTCATAATTTCGAAGGTGCTGCTTGCTTTTTGTTCCATGGAACAGCGTTATTGTGATAAATTATAATATACTGATGCTTGTTTTAACATATTACTTAGTTATACTGTTGAAATGTGCAGAAAACAACCTTTGTGGTTAAAAGGTTTTAATAGCAATTTTGTTATCAATATTATAATAAATAAAAAATGTCTTAAGTATTGTGTGTGTATATACATATGTGTAATTTTTTATATTGTATTTTGGACGTTATGTCCACAAACTAGGGAAACTAAACTAGTTTGTTATGTTGTTTCAACATAGAATGGAAACCTTGCCCCGACTCCAGAAATGGCTCCAGTACCAACCCCAGTTCCTCTATGTGACCTCGCGCCTCCTCCATCCAATGAGCAGATATTTGGTAAGTTATTTAAATTGTATTCAATAGCTATATATATAGGTGGGCATACTTCTGAAGCGACACCCATCGAAATGTTGAGTGACTTATATGATCTTTTCTATACCGTTTTCTTTCTTACGCACGAGGTTTTACCTGTTTTTGTCCATAAACTTATAACAAATGAAAATATTTGATTTTTGTTTTTAAAACCACGTACAGCTTGAAAGGACTTAATATAAGGTTAATGAAACCAAATGTTATTTTAACTAGCTATTTATATAATATTGCAAAATGTTTGTATAAAATAACCTTAAATTTATTTATTTTTAACACCTGTCAAACGAGCCATTCCAGCATGTTTTAGTACTAAGCCTAGGATGGTCATTCCGGAAACCGGTGATTTAGAGTTATTTCGATAGATCTCGATGAATGAAGCTTTACGTAACTTTTAAAACGAAAAAAAAAACACACTAAATATTAATGAAAATATGACATGACGAAATCTATATGGATTATACTATAGTGGTACCATACTTAACATTATACCATCCTTCTTATATTTACTCTTCATTGCAGAAATGACATTTATAATTTGAGAATCGCAAGGAAAATCATCTTGTAATGCATTTTACATCTGCTTCAACTTCAACACTGACTCTTTGGGCTCTACTGTACCGTTAGTTTTACACAATATTGAAGCTTATGATTCCAGTCCTTTTCGAAGATAACGATATTATTGTGCCCGTTTTTTTTTATGTTTTCGTTGTTAGTATAGTAATCAACTGGCGAACCTTCGATTCAGTTGGTATGTCAAATCGATTGGGATATCTTCAAATAAGTTCTTCCCTTATCCAACCTAGACACATGGTTTAGCTTAATCGCTATTCCTAAACCATCACATTCACAGACACATCTAAAACATTTCAAGCATTATTCATTGATACATCGTTTTACTTTACATTTACAAGTTAATTTATCCACGTTGTTCCTCATGGTCTCGGGTCAATCACGGGTCTGGTCCAGCGACCTAAACCTTGAAAATTGTCAAACGTCATCTTTTTGTCTGATCAAAACAACTCAAAACCTTTCCGGAATGACTCATTGTTTTTTTTTTATCTACATCGATAGGCTGGGCTGGCTCGTGTGACAGATGTTTCTTTTTAATTGCAAAATTGCACAATGGCCTATCTACTCTGACCCCCTTGCATTGATCGAACTCCGATTTGTAGCGTTACAAGCCTTCACACTTCCGCTGAGCCACTTGGAAATCTTTTATAAATAACTATTATACCGTTAATATTTTAACTTTAGGAAAAGCCCCTCTGTGGCTCAGCAATAAATACCACAGCTTAAAGCACTCAAATTCTGGTTTTAGAGTATAAATTCCCCATTTGTGTAGCTTTGTGCTGAATAACAAACAAAGAAACATACAAAACCTAGGGAAAAATACTTGAATAAAGACGTAGAACACGTAATGGTAGTAGTTTGTAAATAAGTCACTAGAGGTACTGTCAAGATACTTTCGAATTGAATGTGTATTCATCATATTGTTTAAGTTTTAAGTTAAAACCCAGAAGTTTTTCGGGTGTTTTATTTTTAAACATGAATGTTTTAATTATTTGTTAGTTGTAAAGGTGTATTTATAAGCATGTTTTATTGTATGTTTGGAAAGTCATTTGTGTAAACAGTATTTTGACAATAAAGTTAATAATAAACCAACTTTTATTCTCCATATAATAATAAAATTTATTACAGCCAACATTTTACCATTGCGAAAATGGCGAAGCTTTGGCTGAAATAAAAGTTGTTTTTCTTATTATCATATTGAGCTTGAAGATCATTTTTCTTTTCCCTGACTTTATTGCCAGTATGTCTAATTCCCTCCAGCATGCACTACAAATTTTGGAAAACAACAAAATATATAAAATGTAGTTATTGTTCCCGTTGCGATTCGCAAAAATTCATTTAACAGAGAAGCGTTTCGTTGTCAGACGGTGAAATAACGTTTCGTAATTATCTTAAAAACTGAAAGCTAAGGAAGATATTTTGTTCGTGTCAGGTAAAATCGATGAATTAAGAAAACGTCATCAAGAAGAAGTTGAAGACTTCAAGAAAGGTCAAGCAATGAACTACGCCAGAATGGAAATGGGGCTCAAAGAAAAGCTTAATGAAAGACGCAATCGACGCAATCTGCGAGAAACACAAACGCGTATGTTAGAAGCTCTTCAAACGTCACAATAAGCACTTCTGACGATGACCACCAGGTGACGCATATATAATGATGCTAGACTGTGATATGAATTGTGGTATTTATTTTTCAGTAAAAGTCAATAAGTTGTTTAGTTTTTGTATATGATAGATCCCTAGGCAGTTGGAAGTAAGTTTTCGAGTAAAAGTTAACTTTTTTTGTGTGAAAATATCCACATGATTATGTTTGAAACTCGTTCTATCTCATTTATTTATCTTATTGTGTATTTTTTTACGTGATAATTTCAAAGTAGAAATTTATATACAGTAATATTTTCAAATAACACTTATTTTGGTATATTGATTTATCACGTGCCTTATTCTTATCAATTTATTTATAATAATCCACCCATTTTATTATATCACAGACTGATAGTCACACCTGTATCAATTCTAAAACTTTAATATGAACTACTAGCAGTTACATTACAGTAAAAACAGCTCAAATATCCTTGTCTTTTTTGTGTCCAATTAACTGGTTTAATGCTCGAAAATAGTCGTACTGAAAGTAGCACTTAGATAAGTTTAATCTAAAATAAGTTAATATGATAATGTGAATTATTAGTGTGAATTAAATGTGACAAATGTACCAAACTTTCTGTGTAATTGAGGCAGCGCTCACATTGCTGTAGAACATATATTTTATATTTGTAACTCTTCTTATATGTCCATACGTGGATCAGTATCGCTGGTACAAACGTGAGGTCAGCTTTCTGGTAGTAAACATCAGATAAAAAACCATGGTTAAAACAATAACTTATTTGTTTGTTTAAGCCCGGCGTTGAGCAAAAAAAAAATATGCAGAATGTCTGAATGTTTGTTTGTAAGCGTAGCATTTACTGTATTTATTTTTGTTTGTCTGTTGTTAAGCACTAAGCTACATTTTATTAATTTGAAAATTAGAAGCTTTAGTTGATCTAGTAGCTTTAATAAAAGACAGGTGGTATCAAATTTATCATTAAAAAAACGCCAAATCAATGTTGTTCTATGCCCAGGAAACACAAAATAATTAATTAAAGAAACCCAACAGTCTTTTAATGTGATTTAGTTTTATAAATTATGTAAAAATACTCTATTTTATTCACTCAATGTTGAAATAGTGTAC